AATATGCACTCTGCAACAACAATATTTGGGGAAATATATCAAATGCAGCTCAAAAATACATTTGGTAAATTTTTTCGAGATCGGTTCAGATTTGGATATAGCTCCCATACATAACTTCGTCCGATTTACCTTTTATTGTGCACCAAACGTCTAATATTTGTCCAAATGGGATGGAATTTGGCACTTACGACCGAATTGGGTCTAGAAGCTAGTATGTCAAATTTGGTGAAGATCGGATAAGATATAGCTATAGCTCCCATATATACTGTTCATCCGATGTGTCATATTTGTTACCCACAGCCGTAATATTCACTCCGTAACAACGATATTCAGGGAAATATATCAAATACAGCTCAAAAATATCCTTGCCAAATTTTATCGAGATCGGTTCAGATTTGGATATAGCTCCCATATATATCTTTATCCGATTTCAAATTAATTGTACACCAAATGGGCAATACAATTCCGAATTTAAAAGATACAAATGCTTCGGCATATTAAGTCCGTTGAACTTTAAGTTATAATTATAATCATAGCGTGTATGATTGAATTCTCCCATAAAAACTTTTATTGTTATGTGAAGCTCTACTAAATTAGCAAAGTGGTGTAGGGTATCATAAAGTCGGCCCCGCCCGATTTTAAGACTTTCTTTACTGTTTTTTTTTATCAATTTTTAAAACAAAAAACATTTTGAAAATCTCGTTTTCTTTCAGTTCCATATCATCTTTAAGTTAAACACATATTCTGTAAATAACCTCCTTTTCATAGCAAAAAAAATTGGTCCCAAAATTTCATTTCCATGTATTTTTAATTTATCGCAGACTGTCTCAAGAGAGATTTGCCAAGAAAGCTTTAAAGTTAAAATTGAAAACTTTGTAGACATCGTTGTTCTCTGCCGGTTGATTGGCTGCAAAATTAAGGCCATCTAAGAGTTGAGCTACCCACAAACATTTCTGTTTTTATTTGACATCAACTTAATGCACTCAACTCGAAAACTCCCCGAGGGTAAGTAACCGATGAAATCAACAAAGAGCTTTAATGAAATCATTTGTTTTTTTTTTTTTTTTCGATGTAAACCAACATTTCGAAAAGTTCATAGAAAAGTTCTAAAATTTTGTTGATGATGTTGAAAGTCAACAGAAAGCGGATTTATGTGAAAGAAAAATAAGAAGAAACCCGAAAAATTAAAAAGAAAATATAAACAAAATAAAAAAATAAAAATGCACTGGATTAAAGGGCACATGTGGGCGTATGATTGTTTTATTATATTATTTCGTTAATCATACGTTACATGGGACCAATAATTAATATTAGGTATACGCAACCAGGGTCAAACTGTATTAATACAAGAGTAAAGTAATTGACTGACTGACTAAACAATTAATCAACGCCCAGAAGAAACGGCTGAAGCTAGAATCTTGAAAATTGTGAAAAAAATGGGTACAAGGTGGTCCCAGCTTTATCGAGGGGTTCAAATAAACCTGGGTTCTAAGAAATTCGTAATAGAACGGTACGAAAAGTATCAAAGAACATAAATATGGGTCCCTTCTTATTTTGAGGAAGCATTAGAGCCAGAACTCTTTAATTTGGAAATTCGCATTATAAGTGTACGAAGAGTACTAAAATGTACTAAATTTGTTATACTTTCGGTAAGAGCTAAAAAGTTGCAATTCGCAATGGGAATCAAGGCTGAGGAGTAGAGTCGATATAAGAAGATAGTTTTGGTAGTGTGTACTCATGTACATGAAAGGTGCTGAACAGTACTAAATTTAATACAACTTGAAATTGGAAGAACGGATGGAGCTGAAATCCTAAAATTGGGAGTTAATATTTCTGGCGGAGTGTAGGATTGGGATATGGAGGAAGTTTTCGAAATGTGTACTTAAATTGACTAAATTTGGTACCATTTCGTACCATTAGAGGTAAAAAGTTTAAATTGGGAATGGGAATAAAAATTTACAAGTACACTCTATATAAGGAGTTATTTTTGGAAGTGTGTACTCATGTATACGAAAAGTCCTAAGCAGTACTAAATTTAGTACAATTCAAATCTGGAGGAGCTGAAATCCTAAAATTAAAAGTTAGCATTACTGGCGGAGAGTGGGATTGGGATATGGGGGAAGTTTTCGAAATTTGTACTTATGTGCACCAAAGGTACTAAGTGGTACTAAATTCGGTACAATTTCGATTTGCTGGAAAACCGATAGAGCTGGAATTCTGAAATTTAAAAATAAAATAACTATTGCATTCTACGATTGAGGAATGTAGGTAGGTGTGGAAATTCGAACGCATATGTATTAAATGGTACTAAATTTGGTACAATTTAATTTTTTGGGAGAACCAATGGAATTGGAATATTGAAATATGGATACAAGATTTCAAGTTTTGTAACACTGAAATATTAAGGTAGTTTTGGAAATTCGTACTTATATTCACTAAATGGTACTAAATTTGGTACAATTTAAATTTTTGGGAGAAACAATAGAGTTGGAATCCTGAATTATGGAAATAAGATTACTATTGTATTGTAGGACTAAGGAATGTAGGTAGTTTTGGAAATTCGTACCTATGGGTACTAAGTGGTACTAAATTTGGTACAATTTAAATTTTTGGGAGAACCAATAGAGTTGGAATCCTGAAATTTAAAAATAAGAGTTTTGTTGAACTTTGTGATTTAGGCAGTCATGAAAATTTGTACTTTAGTGTACTATATGGTACTAAAGATGGTACAATTTGGAATTTGGGCGAACCAACAGGAGTAGAATCCTAAAATTTGGAATTTGGATTACTTTGGGAGTGTGAGATTGGGGTATGTAGGGAGATTTGGAAATTCGTACTTATGTGTCCTAAAGGGAACTAAATTTCGAACAAATTAGAATTGTGATGAACCAATGGAGCTGGAGTCCTCAGATCTAATATTGAGGTCATGGTTGGTATCTGGAATTGAGATAAGGAGGTGGATTTGGAAATTTGTACTATAATTTTTCGAAAAGTACTAAATGGTACGAAATTTGGAAATTGGTGAGCGAATGGGATTGAAATCCTTAAATTTAATATTGAGTTCTTTGAAATCGCGATATGTATGTAGTTGTGAATGTGTGTACAATAATTGTACAAAAAGTACTAAATTGTTCTGAAGTTGGTTCTAGATGCAACCCTATCCCCAAGATACCTTAAATTTAATATTGAGGTCAATGCTGGTGTATGTGGTTAAGATATGGAGGGGGTTATGTGGACTATAATTGTTCGAAAAGTACTAAATGGTTGGGTATTGGTTGAAGGGATAGCCCTGGAATCCTTAAATTTGATATTGAGGTCTCTGTTGGTATGTTGGATTGAGATAAGAAGTTGGTTTTTGAAATGGGTGCCATTTTTGTACAAAAAGTACTGAGTGGTACTAAATTGGATACTGTGTGAAGGCATAGAGCTGGAATCTCAAAATTTGATACAAAGTTCTCTGTTGGTATCTGGAATTTAGATATGGAGGTAGTTTTGGATATGTGTACTATAATTGTACAAAAAGTACTATATAGTACTAAATTTGGTAATGTGTGAAGGAATAGAGCTGAAATCCAGAGGAATTATATTTAGGTCTATGTTGGTGTCTGCTGTTAAGATGGTAGTGGAAATGTGTACCATAATTGCACGAAAAGTACTAAATAGTACTAAATTTGGTATTGTGTGAAGTAATAGATCTTAAATCCTCAAATTTGATATTCAGGTCTCTGTTGGCATCTGGAATTGAGACATGGAAATCATTTTGAAAATGTGTACTATAATTGTACAAAAAGTACTAAGTGGTACTAAATTTGATATTGGGTGAAGGGTAAGAGCTGAAATCCTGAAATTTGATATTGAGGTCTTTGTCGGTATCTGGAATTGAAAAATGGACGTGGTTTTGGAAGTATGTAGAAAAAGTACTAAATAGAACTAAATTTGATATTGGGCGAAGGGATGGACCTGGAGTCCTGAAATTGTATAATTAAGACACTGTTAGTATCTGACATAGATACGTGGAGATTGGTTTCAAATGCGTACTATAATTGTACTAAATGGTACTAAATTTTGTATTTGCTAAGGTCATATAGCTGGAATCTTGAAATGTGATATGGATATCACTGTAGGAATCATCAGTTTCGGATAAGCGTAATATAATTGTACTAAATGGTAATGGAGGAAATTATAAAACTGGAATCCTGATGTTTGAGGTGGCTGTTGGTTTCTAGGGCTTACATGTGGAGACCTTGACATAATTTTGGACAGAAAAAAAATATTAGTAACTTTGGAATAAAAATGTATGTAATTTGAAGCCATTCTCTTGGCTCATTTTACCCTTGAAAGCCTAAACTTTGATAGACTGAGAGAGAACTGAATACGGTAAAAAGGGCAACCATCTTGGGAGATTATATTGTGAATTCTAACTGTATTAAGCTTGAATCTCCCTTAGTAGCCCATATGGGAAATTAAGATGCCATTTCTACAATTTTATGTTGGGCGCCATATTAAAGGATTAGAATAATGTTTCTTTCTTCAGAAAACCTTTACAAGTTCTACTCATGCAACTCAAATCTTTTCAAGAATTCCTAAAGTAGTTTTTATGCCTAGCTTTATTAAAAAAGAACTGCCTCTGATATGCATGCTTGCCCTTTTATTAACCTGATTGAATGGCAAATCACCTCCGCCTATTGGGCATCTCCACAAAGCTAATATTTTACAATGCAAATATTCTCAAAGCTGGACAAAGAATGAACAACATCAATGGAAAAACTGGGAGTTACATTCCAGTCCTCAAATAAAATTGACATGTTTTTGTTGTCCTCTACGCCATATTTTTTAGCTATGAGATTTGCAGGCACAACAATTTTTATACAGATTTTCAAACTGAACAAAAAACAAACAATTATTCCCAGTGGTGGCAGCAGAAATGCAAAATAACTTTTTTGCCACCCCTTGCAGAAACCCCTTAAACAAAAATAAACTCAGCAAAATTTTCAACTCACCTGCTTGCCAAAGGTGGGCGACAGCGAGGGCGGCGGTGGCGATGCGGCATTCATTCTCGACGTTGGCGTATAAATGATGCGCTGTGATTCCATATTCAGGCGATCGAATGCCTTCTCCTCCAAATGGAATTCATCTTCGCTATTGGTCTCCTGCGGTATCACATCGGGATTTTTATCTTCCAAACTGGAATGGCTGCCCATGTTGCGTGACAACGGCTCGGCGCTGCCTTTGTCGGCTTCCGTTGTTGTTGTATCGCCGCTGGGGCCACGGCGATTGTGCTTTGTGCGAAACTTCATGAAAATCACAATACAAATGGCAACGAGGAACAGTGTTGCTATGACACCAACTAGGGCACCCAGTAATGGGGTTAGTTGGACCAGAACTGCAGTGGAGGATGCTGTTTGTGTTTTTTGTTGGCGTTTCGATTCAATGCAGTAAAGGTGTGTTGTGTGAAACCGTGGCATAGGGGGTTAAATACCAAGTTTTTTATTTGTTGATGAATTTTTTTTTGTGAAAGTAAAAGTAGAGAGAATTGAAGAAAAATAAATAAATATTAATTGTGAGCAAATGGGGAAAAATATCAATTGTATATATTAGTTGAAAATTTGTATTATTTATATTATTTTAAAGGGTGCTGGGGTGGTATGAGTTCTATTAGCAATTATACGCCCAATGAGCACTTCAACTCAAGAAGAAAATATTTTTCTCGAGCAAATATGTTTTACATTGTCTGCAAGCGTATGAGTAAAAAATCATCATACGACACCATGGCCCATGATTTAAAAATCTATTTAAAAACTTCGTATGATTGGTATAAGTGATTTATTACTCATACGTAAGTTTTTTACTCATACGGAGTAAGTTTGGCTGGACCGAACCTTATATGTCTTTCAAAAGTTGGAAGAAATTTACAATTAAAAAAAAATCCGTGGAAAAAATTTCATAGAAACACCGAATAGGGAGTTACCGTTCTATGGGAAGACTTGAACCTGCATAGACAATTTTCTGTCACAGGCAGTATTATTTATTAGGAACTTCAAATACGAAATTTTAAACAATTCCGGTGAAAAATGTCGTCTAAAATTATCAAAATACCGAAAATAGGGAGCTATTGTTATTTGAGAGTTATACGAAGACCTGGAGCTATATATGCAATTTTCTGTCACAGGCTGTAGTACCCATTAAGAACTTCAAGCACGAAAATTTAAACAGTTCCGGTGAAAAATGTCGCTGAAATCATCAAAATACCGAATATGGGGAGGTACAGTTATATGTGGGCCATACGAAGACGTTGACCTGCATGCAAAATTTTTTGTCACAAGCTATAGCAGCCATTAGGAACTTCAAATACGACATTTGAAATAATTGCGGGGAACAATTATCTTTGAAATGATCAAAATACCGACAATAGAGAGCTACTGTTATATGGGAGCTAAACGAAGACCTGGAACAATTCGGGTGAAAAATGTCACCTAAAATTATAAAAATACCAAAAATATGGAGGTACAGTGATATGGGGCCTATAGGAAGACTTTTGGCTGCAAAGGCAATTTTCTGTCACAAATAGGAGTACCCTTTATGAACATCAAATATGAAATTTGAAATAATTCCGGTGGTTAATGTCGCTAAAATCTTCAAAATAGCAAATATAGGGAGCTAACGTTATCTCGGCTCTATATGAAGACGTGGACCTGTGTGAGTAACGTTCGGTCACAGGCTGCAGTACCCATTACGAACTTTCAATACGAAATATGAAATAATTCTGGCGAAAAATGTCACCTAAAATTATCAAAATATCGAAAATAGGGATTTACTGTGATATGGAGGCTATACGAAGTTGTGGACCTGCATACGCAATTTTCGGATAGACTTTAGTACCCATTATGAACATCAAATATGAATTTTGAAACATTTCTGGTGAAAAATGTCGCTAAGATCATGAAAATACCGAATATCTGGAGGTACACGTATATGGGGGCTATACGAAGACGTGAACCTGTATAGAAAATTTTTGGGAATAAGATGTGGTACCCATTAGGAACATTAAGTTCCAAATTTGTAACTTCTCCGGTGAAAAGTTTGACACAAATCATCAAAATATCGAATATCCGGATGTATACTTATATGGGGGCTATACCTGGGCCTATATAGCCCATTTTCAATTTCAAAAGTTCTGCGGACCTAACACACATCTGAGCATACATTATGAACATCAAATATGAATTTTGAAACAATTCTGGTGAAAATGTCGCTAAGATCTTTAAAATACCGAATATCTGGAGGTACACTTATATGGGGGCTATACGAAGATATAGGTACAGGAAATTTTTGGGAATAAGATATGGTACCCATTAGGAACTTTAAGTTCCAAATTTGATCATCAAAATACCGAATGTCTGGAGGAACAGGTATATGGAGGCCAAAGGGTGGACCTATATAGCTCATTTTCAATTTCAAAAGTTCTGCGGACCTAACACACATCTGAGTTAAATTTTATTAAGCTACTTCAATTTATTCGGAAGCTAGATCGATTTCCAAAGACGGACAGACATCGCTAAATCAACTTTGTGGGGTCTAAAATTTATATTTCGAGATGTTACAAATGGAATGACAAACTCAATATACCCTCCATACTATGAACATATTTTCACCCTACAAATCTGTATTCCAATGTTCTTGGAGCGTCTAATTGTTATCAACACTCATACCACCCTCAGAACCCTTTACATTTATGTTAATCATACGCAAACTCTATTTTTTCAATTCTCTAATTTAAAAATAAAATAAACCGCAAAATCCATTCCACAAACCTATCGTTTAAAGATTTTTTAAAATATTTGTATATTAGACCTGGCAAAATGGTTTATGTACTTTTAAAGGCAATGTAAATAAGTGTTTTCCCCGAAAAATAGTTTTTTCTTAGGTTTCAGGGTCCATAGGTCGTATAATTGTTAATATCACTCATACACCCCAAGGGCCCCCTATATTAATATAAATCATACGCAGCAGGTATTTTCTCAATTTCAAAAAAATCCCCAAAATGCTTTCCACATACCTATCATTTAAAGATTTTTTTTTTTAAATATTTGATGACGGGTCATGGTTCAAAGGTTTAAATACTTTTAAAGGCAATATAAAAAAAATCCCTGACAAAAAATTGTTTTGTTCTTGAGTATCAGTGTTCATAGGGTGTATACGAAACCTTCTAAATTAATATGAATCATACGCTACTTCTTATTTTCCCAATTTCCTCATTTAATCCCAAGAAAAAAATTCCCAAAATACTTTCGAAATCTTTGTTTATGAACTTTGATGCCATATAATTGATATAATAATTTTATAACAGCTAAGTTATAAAAACATAAATTCCCCAGGAAAATCCCCTTCTTCTTCAATTTAAATGCTTATAAGGCGTATAATTGTTAATATCACTCATACCACCCCAAGGACCCTTCTTAATTAATATAAATCATACACAGTATATAATTTTTTATATTTTCTTATTTAATCCCAAAGCTATCCCTAAAATCCTTCGCACTTACCAGTTCTCAGCAGCGGTGCCGACAATGTCCTTCCTCTCAAACGATATGACACTTTACTTGGTCCCTGGGCATTGACGGCTGTTATGCGCAACACAAACACTGAATCGCTGGGCAAACGTTTGACCGTGAATTCGGGATTACGAAATGAGGTGTTATATAAAATCTGGCGATTCAGCTCATCATAGACCTGGACATGGAAATGCTGGGGTATGCCACCATCATAGCCGGGTATACATTGTATTTGCATGGAATTGGCGGTGAAATTATAGGCGGAGCAATTTTTCACGGGTTCGGGGAGATCTAGAAAGAAATATAAAAAATATTTTAATTTTTTTAATTTGAATTAAGAATTAAGTTATATATTCCTTATTATCCAATTTCCCCAACCTTTCCATTAATTAAGACACAAGAAAACATATTTAATTTCAATTATTAACACATACCCGCACGCACCCAGACTCAGCAAAAGCAATTATACAATTACCTTGGGCCCAGGGGCCTATAGGTGTTAAGTATGTGCCGGTATGCAAACCTCACACACATATGCCACCCATTCCTCCATGCCAACATACCAACCATGTTGTTTATGTGACCAGGAGAGGGAGTAGGTTTGAGTGTGTATATGTGTATGTTCATTAGAACTAGCTTCATTGGTGTAGAAAATTGAAAGAAACTCTGGCACTCCAAACACTTGTATGTTAATGTTAAAGCCATGAACTCATGGCAGTTTTTTTCCTTCTTCTTCTGGGTGCAAACAATATTGGCGTTATATAGCCACCACCTTCAACTTCACACCCTCCCCTCATAAATGAGTTGCCACATGAATGTAGAAACACTTATAGTTTTTTTTCGCTTGCCTTCTCCAATGCTAGTTTGGTAAGGCGGCATTCACACATACTCACATGTATGCGATTCAACACTTAACTTTTGTGTTGAGCTATGTTTTTTCTTTCTGCATACGGGTGTGTGTATACACGTATGTGTAAGTGTGTGTGTGTGTGCATACATGCAATTCAATTTCAGAATATAACACTTTATGCTTTTGTAGGCAAAAGAATATTAAGTGTCTACACTCAGGAAAGTATGTTCATTATATATGTAGATGGGTGTGTGAGTGTGTGTGTGTGTGAATGAGGAAAGAATTGAAAAAATAACTCTCAAGAAGGAAAACGCCACGAAACACACACACACACACTCATAGTTGTAGCCAGACATATTATATTTATATGAGTGTAACCACTCATTTCGCCATGCCTATATTGAAATTTTCTATAAACACAAAAATATTAAAGTGGTTCATTAAGGAATACTCATTAATGTGAAGGCCTAAATGGTTGAGGAGATATGTGTTTTTTTTTTGCTACAATTTGATTGGGGGTGAGAGGGGAGGGAGGGGCAATTGAAACCACAGAAAAAAAGATATACGTGATATCAGGTGGCGTATGAGTTATACTAATGGGGAGGAGAGGGAGTGGCGTATACATATCGAAAACAAGTATACGCACTGGCATGGTAAAAAAATGAGGGAGAAATGCAGAAAATTGGGAAAATCTTGATTCTCTTCTCAAGGACCGACATACCCATAAGACTGGATTATTAAAGAAAAATTTTAGATGGATCAACGCGTTTTTATTGGTGAATTTTTAAAAATAGGAATGCTTTTCAAGGAGGGGGCAATAATCCCGGTGACAAGTAATCGTGAATTTTAAGTGAATTTTTTTTTAAGGGCCGATAACATGGATTTGTTTATTGTAAATTCTTTCATTAACCATAAGACCAATTAAAGTGGATTTTTGTAATAATATTTTTGCATGGACCTATAAAGAAATAATCTAAGATTTTTTTCAAGGACCTATAGATCATAATTCAAGGATTTTTTATAGATTTTTTCAAGAACCTATAGAGCAATAAGAAATTTTTTTTCAAGGATCTATACAGAAATAAACTTGAATTTTTTAAGATTTTTTTCAAGGGCCCATACAGCAATAATGTAAGATCTTTTATTAATTTTTTTCAAGGACCTACAGAGCAATGATCAAGGATTTTTTCAAGGATCTATATGGCAATAAATATGGATTTTAAGAATTTCTTTTCAAAGACCTATAGACCAATAATCAAGAATTTTATATAGATTTTTTAAGTACATATAGGGCAATAATCAAGGATTCCTCAAGGATTTTTATACAAGGACCTATAGGACAATAAACGTGGATTTTTTAAGGAAATTTTTTCAAGGACCTATAGAGCAATAGTCAAGAATTTTTTAAACATTTTTTTCAAGGACCTATAAGGCAATAAACTTGGATTTTTTAAGATTTTTTTTTCAAGGGCCAACAGACTACCATATGTGTACTTTTTAAAGAATTCTCACGGACCTTATAATACAGAATTTTTTTAATATATTTTTCAAGGACCAAACGGATTTTTTTAAGAAATTTTTTAGACCCCCAAGAACTACAAAATGTGGTACAATAATCCAGATTTTTTTAAAAATAAGGGTTTCAAGGACCATGCGCTTAAAAATCAAGGATTTTTTATCAGATTTTTTCAGACACCAAAGGACTACAAAATGTGGATTTTTTATTGAATGTTTTCAAGGACCAAACAACCAATAGGCAAGGATTTTTTAAATATTTTTCTTTTCTAAAGCAATTTTAAAGACAATTTTTCAAAGAACAAGAGACCAGCAAATTTGTTTAAACAATAAAGGAAATTTTTTTAGGAATATTTTTCAAGGGCCATCGCACCAATAAACGTGGATTTTTTTAAGAAATACTTTTCAAGGACCAAAGAACCACCAGATATGGATTCTTTAAGAATGTTTTGCGAGGACTAATAGACCAATAATCCAGGATTTTTTTAGAGAATATTTTTTTAAGAACAAAAATACCAATAATCAAGGATTTTTTTTAAGAATATATTTTGAGGACCAAAGGCCTAATAAATGTGGACTTTTAAAATAATACTTTTTAAAGATTATTAATAATAATAATAATACTTATTAAAGATACCAAATATGGTTTTTTAATGAATATTTTTCAAGGCCTAAGAGACCAATAATCATGAATTTTTAAAAGAATATTTTTCAAGGTCTAACAGACCAACAACAGAGCAATAAACGCAGATTTTTTTGAAGATTAATTTTCAGGAACCGAATGTCCAATAAAGAATGAAGGATCTGAAGACCAGTTTTTAAAGAATATTTTTCAAGGATCTGAAGACCAATAAACGTGGATTTTTAAAAAAATATTTTTTCAAGGATCTGAAGACTTATAAACGTGGATTTTTAAAGAATATTTTTTCAAGGATCTGAAGACTTATAAACGTGGATTTTTAAAGAATATTTTTTCAAGGATCTGAAGACTTATAAACGTGGATTTTTAAAGAATATTTTTTCAAGGATCTGAAGACTTATAAACGTGGATTTTTAAAGAATATTTTTTCAACGATCTGAAGACTTATAAACGTGGATTTTTAAAGAATATTTTTTCAAGGATCTGAAGACTTATAAACGTGGATTTTTAAAGAATATTTTTTCAACGATCTGAAGACTTATAAACGTGGATTTTTAAAGAATATTTTTTCAACGATCTGAAGACTTATAAACGTGGATTTTTAAAGAATATTTTTTCAAGGATCTGAAGACTTATAAACGTGGATTTTTAAAGAATATTTTTTCAAGGATCTGAAGACTTATAAACCTGGATTTTTAAAGAATATTTTTTCAAGGATCTGAAGACTTATAAACGTGGATTTTTAAAGAATATTTTTTCAAGGATCTTAAGGCTTATAAACGTGGATTTTTAAAGAATATTTTTTCAAGGATCTGAAGACTTATAAACGTGGATTTTTAAAGAATATTTTTTCAAGGATCTGAAGACTTATAAACCTGGATTTTTAAAGAATATTTTTTCAAGGATCTGAAGACTTATAAACGTGGATTTTTAAAGAATATTTTTTCAAGGATCTGAAGACTTATAAACGTGGATTTTTAAAGAATATTTTTTCAACGATCTGAAGACTTATAAACGTGGATTTTTAAAGAATATTTTTTCAACGATCTGAAGACTTATAAACGTGGATTTTTAAAGAATATTTTTTCAACGATCTGAAGACTTATAAACGTGGATTTTTAAAGAATATTTTTTCAAGGATCTGAAGACTTATAAACGTGGATTTTTAAAGAATATTTTTTCAAGGATCTGAAGACTTATAAACCTGGATTTTTAAAGAATATTTTTTCAAGGATCTGAAGACTTATAAACGTGGATTTTTAAAGAATATTTTTTCAAGGATCTTAAGGCTTATAAACGTGGATTTTTAAAGAATATTTTTTCAAGGATCTGAAGACTTATAAACGTGGATTTTTAAAGAATATTTTTTCAAGGATCTGAAGACTTATAAACGTGGATTTTTAAAGAATATTTTTTCAAGTATCTGAAGACTTATAAACGTGGATTTTTAAAGAATATTTTTTCAACGATCTGAAGACTTATAAACGTGGATTTTAAAAGAATATTTTTTCAAGTATCTGAAGACTTATAAACGTGGATTTTTAAAGAATATTTTTTCAACGATCTGAAGACTTATAAACGTGGATTTTTAAAGAATATTTTTTCAACGATCTGAAGACTTATAAACGTGGATTTTTAAAGAATATTTTTTCAAGGATCTGAAATGTAAAAAACGTGGATTTTTAAAGAATATTTTTTCAAGGATCTGAAGTCGAAAAAAACGTGGATTTTTAAAGAATATTTTTTCAAGGATCTGAAGTCGAAAAAAACGTGGATTTTTAAAGAATATTTTTTCAAGGATCTTAAGGCTTATAAACGTGGATTTTTAAAGAATATTTTTTCAAGGATCTGAAGACTTATAAACGTGGATTTTTAAAGAATATTTTTTCAAGGATCTGAAGACTTATAAACGTGGATTTTTAAAGAATATTTTTTCAAGTATCTGAAGACTTATAAACGTGGATTTTTAAAGAATATTTTTTCAACGATCTGAAGACTTATAAACGTGGATTTTAAAAGAATATTTTTTCAAGTATCTGAAGACTTATAAACGTGGATTTTTAAAGAATATTTTTTCAACGATCTGAAGACTTATAAACGTGGATTTTTAAAGAATATTTTTTCAAGTATCTGAAGACTTATAAACGTGGATTTTTAAAGAATATTTTTTCAACGATCTGAAAACTTATAAACGTGGATTTTTAAAGAATATTTTTTCAAGGATCTGAAATGTAAAAAACGTGGATTTTTAAAGAATATTTTTTCAAGGATCTGAAGTCGAAAAAAACGTGGATTTTTAAAGAATATTTTTTCAAGGATCTGAAGTCGAAAAAAACGTGGATTTTTAAAGAATATTTTTTCAAGGATCTGAAGTCGAAAAAAACGTGGATTTTTAAAGAATATTTTTTCAAGGATCTGAAGTCGAAAAAAACGTGGATTTTTAAAGAATATTTTTTCAAGGATCTGAAGTCGAAAAAAACGTGGATTTTTAAAGAATATTTTTTCAAGGATCTGAAGTCGAAAAAAACGTAGATTTTTAAAGAATATTTTTTCAAGGATCTGAAGTCGAAAAAAACGTGGATTTTTACAGAATATTTTTTTATATGTTTTCAAGGATCTGAAGACTAAAAAGAATATTCTTCTACGACCACCAAAAATTAGTTTTTTTTAGTATATCTTTTAAGGACCAAGAGATCAATAATATAGGATTTGTTTAAGAATATTTTTCAAGGACCGAGGACCACCAAAAATGATTTTTTATAGAATATATTTCAAGGACCAACAGTCCAATAATAAAAAAACGTGGATATTTTTCAAGGACAAATAGACCACCCACAGACCAATAAACGTGGATTTTTTAATATTTTTTAAGGTCTACTTAAACATGAAAAATAAGGATAGATTTTTATATACCAAAATATATGTCATTTTTCTATATAACATATTAAAGATACAAGTTTCTTTTGTTCAGAGACTCAAAGTAGAATTTGATTTCGAATATTTCTTCCTTTGACATTTTCTCCAAAAATGAATTTTTAAAGAGACTTTGACTGGAAAATAGATGCGCCTTTAACTTGTGTTGAATTTTTTATATTCCGAGTGTAATTTTCTTAAAAACTGTTATTTTCATTTCACCTTCAACATTTATATCTTCCATGTGATCCTGTCGCATTAGCTGACCGTATTTGTAACAAGCTAACAAACATTTGCACACAATCGTATGTATGTATATATGTTTGTGTACACCCAGATAAGCAAAACATGTAATCCAACAAAGAGGTACCACTCTTTCCAACCTCTTTGCTCCTCTTTGTTTTATTGTCTTTTTAGGGTCAACAATATGCTCAAAGCCATAAATGTTATACAAGTGAGGTTATAATAGACAAATAGTTAGGTTTTTTTTGTTTAGAGGGAGTAATTTCGTAAGGGAGCGAGATAGAGAGAAAGGGAGAAAGAGCCCACAATATTGTTACTCATGGTCTTAAGTCGAGGAATTGTATAACCAGGAAAAAACCTCGTTACAATAGCTAAGTAGAAGTATTAACAAACTGTGTGGAGGTGGATAACACTAAGCCATGGTAAGGTAGCGTTACCCACACACATCCAGCTTAAAATTTAAGGGTTATGCTGGTTTGCTGTCTCTATGGAGAAATGTAAATAATACGAGGGATTCATAATAAAACCTAGAATCAAGTGGGTATTTATTAAATCTGCACGGTGGGGCGTATGATGATTGGTGGTTATTTATACGCAACCATGGATAATGAATAAATATAACTCTGATGATAATTTTATCGGAATCTACAGCAAATTAAAATTAGATCAGAATGAGCCTGTCGTTCCCAGGAAAATCTAAAATTTGTAGAGAAAGAGTTTCAACGTGGATTTGCTTTCAGGCTTTAGGAAGTTTTAGATCTTGCATTAGTAAAAATATTGGAAGAAGCGAAATTTAAGGAGAATCAGATGCATATTTCGCTTTTTTTTATTAGAGTCATAAATATTCAAAATTTCCACCCGTTGTGGGAAAGGTACCAGAAGGTGTGATCCCGTATATCCCATCTTCACATCCAATATTTGCTTGATAAAAATATTGGGATGTGTTGAGTTTGAAAATAATCGGATGCTCGTTTCGCGTTTTATGAGCTTTATGGTTATTCAAAATTCTAACCCGTTGTGGGGGAGGTACCAGAAATAGTGGATCGATATCTACTATTTTCACAACAGAGCTTGTGTTAACAAAAATACTGGGTTGAGTGAAATTTTAGGAAAATCGGATGCGTACTTGGCGTTTTATGAGAGTTATTTCTATTCAAAATTTTGACCGGTTGTGGGGGAGGTACCCGACGGAATGGTCCGATCCCAACGCTCTTTATAACAAATCCTGTGTTGCTAGAAATATTGCGATGTGCCAAGTCTGAATGAAATCGGATATTAATTTCAATTTTTATGAGCTTCATGGATATTCAGATTTTCGACCCTTTGTGGGGAAGGTACCAGAAGAAGTGGACCGATACATTAAATCTTTACACCAGAACTTGTGTTGATGAAAATACTGGGATGTGTGAAATTTTAGGATAATCGATTGCTAATTTCACATTTTATGAAAGTTATATATTTTCAAAATTTCGACCCGTTGTGGGGGAAGTACCAAAAGGAATGGTCCCATCCCTACGCTCTTTATAACAAATCCTGTGTTGCTAGAAATATTGCGATGTGCCAAGTCTGAATGAAATCGGATATTAATTTCACTTCTTATGAGCTTCTTGGATATTCAAAATTTCGACCCTTTATGGGAAGAAGAAGTCGGCCGATGTATTCCGTCTTCACATCAGATCCTGGGTTAATAAATATATTGCGATGTGTGTAATTTGGAGACAATCGGACTCTTAAATCACATTTTAAATGAGTTATAGTTATTCAAAAATTTAACCCTTTGGGGGGAGGTAGTTGTCCATTTTCGAACCTGATGTTGTCCATTTTCGCCGCTGAACTAGCACTGGTGCAAATATTAGATTATTCTTTCTCTTTTTCTTTGAAAATTTCGACCTTTTGTGAGGAGGTACCAGAAGGAGTGGACCGATATTGCCCATCTCCGAACTCGATCTATATTGGAGAATAATATTACGATGTGCCAAGATTAAATCAAATCGAATACTCCATTCGAGCACACCAGCCAGACGGACGGACGGACATAGCTCTAGATCGACTTCAAACGTAAACTACCGATTTGAAAAAAATGTGTAGAAATAGTAACTTTTACGCCATTCAAATAAAGCTGACATTGCTTCAAAATTCGATAACTTTCTATAGCCAGCATCTCATTTCCGCTTTGTATTTGTGAAATTATTTCCTCCAAAATATTTTTAACTTAGGAGTTCCCACTGGGCGTATGATTACCGACAACATTCATACGCCCTAATGGCTACGGATTTCCCCAATGCAATTAAATCCAAAATTCCCTATTTTTGTTCATGAAACTGAAACAAAAATCCAATTTGAAACGTTTTTTTTTTGTCCCTGATTTCCATTAAATCAAATATTCGAACGAACCAACATTGGCCTCAATTAAATCTCTCACAATAATTAGCGAAATGTATACGGACAGCAATTAAGTGGCAACAGAACAACAAACCACTGGGGCCGGCAATGAACAAAAAATCAATATTTTCCATTAAAACCACAGGAAAGCAAATGAAAATCAACAAAAAAAAACATATCACATCGGGAGGTAAGGGATGGATCAACATTTTCGAGGCAATGAAATATTTGGTTTGGACCCACACTCCCGCACCATTATATTTTATATTGACCAACATTATAAACATGACACAGCTTCAATTTTTAACATCAGATTTTATACAATCAACCATACATCCTTGCAATCTCTCCAATCAAATTCATGCTCACATTTCAAGGTGCGCATACACACAAATATGTAATTTAAACCACCCCCCCTCTCTCTCCCGTTCGGGAAACTTACCTGCCGGCTGGATGTGATACCAACAAGGCTGCGACTGACCCATCGGACTGCTGGCCACACACGAAATTGCTCCGAAACTCTCATACGATTCAATGTGATAGCTGTAGACATTATTCAGGGGCACTGGAGCGGCAGTGGTCGTTGTGGTGGCCATGGCCAGGCGATGATGTTGCTGTTTGTGCAGGGCGGCCAAACGTTTGCGTTCGGCCAGTTGCTGGTATTGATTGCTGTGCACGGCCGCCTCATGCAGAGGCTGGCTACGCATTTGCTGTTGTTGATGATGCAGTGTTTGATATTGTGTGGGCTGTTTGCCATTGAGCAGTCCAGTGCCACTGCCGCCAACACCGCCCATTGTTGCTGCCCCAGTCGAATGCTGTTTGCCGTCCAAGTGATTTTTATAAATCATATTGGAATAAACCATTTGTGTGTAAGGTAAATCCTCACTATTAGTGCGGCCATAAACTCCATTAATGGCTTCATCAGTTTCTCTGTCATCAACGACAACATCATCATGGCCCTCAACACCACCACCATCATCATCATCGTCGTCATCGTCGTCATCGGCATGATGATGATCATCCGCGTTGTGATAGTGTGGCCGATGGCGATGCAATGGCTTTGGTTGTTCCACATAATCACCAGCACCGACATCATCATCTTCAAATTGTATATTTGACCAGGCCTCCATGTGTGACAGGGACTGCTGTTGCTGCTGCTGCTGCTGATGGACAATCGTACGCATAGCCATGCGTCCATGTCGGCCATGTGCCAGTTTAGCCTCATGCTGTTGGCCATGTAGGTGTTTCCTCTTGCTACGTTGATAATATCCGGCGGAAGCGTGACTTGCATCCGCATGTAATAACATTTGCTGTTGCGAGTGATGGCCACCACCAGCCGTCAGTCCCATAACAACGCCTCCACCACCCAACGAGTTGGGTAGCTCAATGAGACTCTCCAGTGAGTTGTTGAAGTGCCATTTGTAATTTAGATTATCAAGTGGATTCGCATCCACTTGGCATGTTATATTAATGGTCTGCTTAAGGGCTGCTCGTATGATTGTTGATTCGGATTTGCAAACAGGTGGATCTGTTGGGAATAGATAGCACAACAACATCAACAAGAAGAAGAACAACAACAAAGAAAAAGGCATAATTAGAATTCATATTAAATTTGTACAGGGCTTGTCCCCCAGAATTGGGGTCATAATATTTCATAATTTCATGTCACAGCTAATGTAATCCCTTCAAAAGAAGGAGAAAGGACTTAGATTGAGGGGATGGGAGGTAAGGAGAAAGCATAACAAAAAAAAAAAAGGAATTTTGTGAGGATAAAATAAGTAGAAGGAAGGAACGCAGAGAGAGGGTGGGGAAAGCGAGTGGGAGGGGAGGGAAAAATAAGAATATTGCAATAGTATAGAGACAAGTGTGTCATCGGAAATCGAAGGTATCGAAATACCTTGCAGTAAAAAAGTCAGTTATCGAACAACCGAAAAATGAGTTTTCGAATAGATATTCTATAGAGTTCTTCTAAACGAGCTACGGAAGAGTTTGTTATCGATCAAATTTTCTATGGAAAATGTTGTTATCGAACAAAACTTCTATTAAAAGAGTTGTTATCGAACAACTTTTCTAGAAAACAGTTATTATCGATAGAAAATATGCTTTTATCGAAATAGAAAATTATATAATCGAAATAGAAAATATTGCTATCGAACAACTTTTCTATTGAAAATGTTGTTATCGAAGAACTTTTCTACAGAAAATGTTGTCATCGAAGAACATTTCCATAGAAAATGTCGCTATCGCACAACTTCTCTATCGAAAATGTTGTTATCGAAGAACTTCTCAAAGGCAAACTTTTCTGTAGAGTAGGTTGTTGTCGAACAACTTTTCTACAGAAAATGTTGTTATCGAACCACTATCCTCAAGAAATTGTTGTTATCGAACAAATTTTCCATAGAAATAGTTCGTATCGGACAACTTTTCTATAGAAATAGTTTTTTATCGGAAAACTTTTCTATAGAAATATTTGTTATCGGACAACTTTTCTATAGAAATTGCTGTTATCGGACAACTTTTCCATGGAAATAGTTGTTATCGATTAACTTTTCTATAGAAATAGTTGTTATCGATTAACTATTCTATAGAAATAGTTGTTATCGATTAACTTTTCTATAGAAATAGTTGTTATCGAATAACTTTTCTATAGAAATAGTTGTTATCGAACAACTTTTCTATAGAAATAGCTGTTATCGAACAACTTTTCTATAGAAATAGTTAATATCGATTAACTTTTCTATAGAAAAAGTTGTTATCGATTAACTTTTCCATAGAAATAGTTGTTATCGATTAACTTTTTCATAGAAATAGTTGTTATTGATTAACTTTTCTATAGAAATAGTTGTTATCGAGCAACTTTTCTATAGAAAAAATTGTTATCGAGCAACTTTTTTATAGAAAAAAAAAACTTTTCTAGAGAAAAAGTTGCTATCGAGTACATTTTCTATAGAAAATGTTGTTATCGAACAACTTTTCTATAGAAAATGTTGTTACCAAACAACCTTTCTATAGAAAATGTTGTTACCGAATAACTTTTCTATAGAAAATGTTGTTATCGAACAACTTTTCTATAGAAATAGTTGTTATCGAACCACTTTTGTATAGAAAATGTTGTTATCGAACAACTTTTCTATAGAAATAGTTGTTATCGAACAACTTTTCTATAGAAATAGTTGTTATCGAACAACTTTTCTATAGAAATAGTTGTTATCGAACAACTTTTCTATAGAAATAGTTGTTATCGATCAACTTTTCTATAAAAACAGTTGTTATCGAACAACTTTTTTATAGAAATAGTTGTTATTAAGCAAATTTTCAATAGAAATAGTTGTTATCGATAAACTTTTCTATAGAAAAAATTGTTATCGATCAACTTTTTTCATAGAATATGTTGTTATCAACCAACTTTTCTATAGAAAATCTTGTTATCGACCATTTTTTGCTATCTACAAAGGAAGTGCTGTTATCCAGTCTAGTTTTTTACAGAAAATAATGTCATCGATAAATTCTCTTAAGGGAAGTGTTGTTATCGATCATTTTTCTTGAGAAAGATATGAAATTTCAGCCAGAAATATTATTATCGGTCAATTTGTTTCAAATTTAGTTCTAAATTTTTAAATAATTTACTCTTTAACCGAGTCTATCCTTCCCTTATTCCTCATATCCATAATACCTCATAACAACATATTCCACTTCAACACCTTTTTTTGAAGAAAATAAAAAATAACAACTTAAGGTTTTTCTTTTCACAACAGGAAAAATATTTTGCATGACACTTGAACTCTTGTCTATCAAATATCTATTCATATTTCCCTTCCTCCTCGTCCCCCTATCATACATGTCCATAATACCAGCTATTGTTTCAAGTTCTATTCATTCATCTATTGAATGGCAGCAACAAGACAGGAAACTATGAAAAGGAAGGTCTAAGAAAATTAGAAATTGTTCACATATTGGAATTATTTCACAATGTTTACAATGTGTTATAGTTTTTCTTTTGAAGCAAAATTTTTTGTGAAAAGAATATTTGAAAATGTTTGGAGAGGGAGGGTGGTTGAACTGAAAATATCGAACAAAAGATCCGGTAGCTGTAATCAGAAACTATTCAAAGTGTATGGAAATGGGGGGAGAATAGGAGAGGAGGAGGAAAAAAGGTAACTGAAATTTAATACAATGCTTGGACAAACAGCTGTGTATGTGTGGGTCTATGTGAGTGGGTGTACCTATGTAAATATAATTGTCTCTGTTTAAAGAAGATATTTTGTTAGGCTTTGTTGGGTTTTTGCGAGGAAAAGGATTGAAAGAAATATCAGGTGGGGAAAATTTAAAGACTAGGGTGATAAAACATAAGAAGGATGATTTTTAACGAAAAATAATAAATGTCCTTAAATAAGGATATAGATATGTATCCTTAATACGCCAATACGCTATTTTAGTGTAAAGTTTTAATGAATTTAATTTTTTTTTTAATTTTTTGAAATTTAAACTTACATTTGACATCTAAATAGACTTCATTACTGGAAACACTGCCTTGTATATTTGTGGCCCTGCAAAAATATTGTCCATGGGATGACTTCGAAATGGCCTGAAGGACCAGGGTTTGATTCGATATGATAATGCCTCGTGAGGAATGCAGTTGTTTGTCCTGGAATGGGAGAAAAACGTATAAATTTATGAATAAAACATAATTATTTAAAATGAAATTCAAAAAGAATTGCATACTTTTAGGATTTAAACTGTTGCATACTTTTAGGTTGCAAAAATTTATCAACTTCGAGCTACATATATTTTTATACCCTCCACCATAGTATGGAGGATATGTTAAGTTTGTCATTCCGTTTGTGTCACCTCGAAATATTTTTTCTTGATCAGCATAAAATTCTATGCCGATTTATCGATGTCCTTCCGTCTGTCCGTCTATCCGTCTGTGGAAATCACTCTAGCTTCCGAACGAATTGAAGTAGATTGATAAAATTTTACTCAAATGTATATTCTGTCTGCAGGACTTTTGGTATTGAAAATGGGCTATGTACGTCCATGTTTAGATATAGCCCCAACATAATGGTACCTCCCGATATTCGGTATTTTGACGATTTTAGCGACATTATTCACCAGAATTGTTTCAAATTGCGTATGTTAAGTTCGAAATGGATACTACAGCTTAAGACAGAAAACTGTCTGTGCAGGTCCACGTCTTCGTATAGCCCCCATATAACGGTACCTCCCGATATTCGGTATTTTGATAATTTAAGTGACATATTCCACCGGAAATGTTTCAATTTTGGTATTCGAAGTTCGTAATGGGTACTACAGCCTATGACAGAAGATTGTCTGTCCAGGTTCTCGTCTTCGTATAGCCCCCATATAACGGCACCTCCCGATATTCGGTATTTTGATGATTTAAGTGACATATTCCACCGGAAATGTTTCAATTTTGGTATTCGAAGTTCGTAATGGGTACTACAGTATATGACAGAAAATTGTCTGTCCAGGTCTACGTCTTCATATAGCCCGCATGTAACGGTACCTCCTGAAATTCGGTATTTTGATGATTTAAGCCACATTATTCGCCGATTTTTTTAAGTTTCGCAATTGAATATTGTAATGACTTAAGACAAAGTTATCTCTGCAGCTCCATGTCGCCATATAGACACTAATATAACAGCTATTTTTAAGATTTTAACAGAATTTTTAACGGATTTTATTGTTTTTGAGAATGGCCAAATTCTTTCCAAATGATGGGGGATATTCAAACTTCGGCCCGGCCGAACTTACAGCTTTTTTACTTTTTAATATTTTTTTTAAAGATTAATTGAAATATTTTGCATACTTTTAGGATAAAATTTAAATAAAATAAAAACTCTTTCTTTATTGTCAAATTGTACATATATGACCATAAAATGGATAACCAACCCGATGAATATTATCCTAAAATAATGTTTTTCCAAAAAAATCCTCCCAAAGCAATTTTCCTGTTGTAATATGGAAATTAACTTTCCTAGGAGCGTTTTTCTTCTCTCTCAAAAAACAATTGAAGTACCATCAAAGCCTCACAGCATTTCAATGAAAACCATTGCATATCTTCTAGGCTTACCTAAAGTATTTAATTGTATCATAAATTTGATTTATGTGGCGAAGGCAGAAAACAATTATTTCCAAACTCGTTGTCTGCCAAGGAGGAAATTTTATACATAGAGACATTGATTTAACCCTTTGCCTTGCTACATACCTACTTTGACATATCTTGTCTTGTCAGCGAAATAAAAAAACGAAACGAAAAATACTACAAACTAAGCTCTTTTGTTTTATTGTTATTACTTGATGTGTAGCAACCAGGACGTTAGAGACAACTAAAGCCTTCTTTTCTACACATTTAAGTTTACATTGTGCACCGAGTATGCCATAACAGACATAAGCCACTTTAACCAGAGCAGTGAGCAGAGATACGGTTTCAAAAACGACAATGACAATAATAATAACAACAACAACAACGACAAAAACAACAGCCACAAGAGCAAGCAGCACATAGCATGTAATCGTAGTCATGGTTAAGTGTTTTTGGCGTTCTAGGCAGGTAAGTGCAAACTGAGGCACGAAGAGGATAAATTTTAATAAAATTGCAAGAATGTGTTTTTTAAAAAAAAATAAAAATATAAAAAAAATAATAATACTTTTAATAATAATAATAATAATAATAATATAATAATAATAATAATAATATAATAATAATAATAATAATAATATAATAATAATAATAATAATAATATATAATAATATAATAATAATAATAATAATAATAATAATAATAATAATAATAATAATAATAATAATAATAATAATAATAATAATAATAATAATAATAATAATAATAATAATAATAATAATAATAATAATAATAATAATAATATAATAATAATAATAATAATAATAATAATAATAATAATAATAATAATAATAATAATAATAATAATAATAATAATAATAATAATAATAATAATAATAATAATAATAATAATATAATAATAATAATAATAATAATAATAATAATAATAATAATAATAATAATAATAATAATAATAATAATAATAATAATAATAATAATAATAATAATAATATAATAATAATAATAATAATATAATAATAATAATAATAATAATAATAATAATAATAATAATAATAATAATAATAATAATATAATAATAATAATAATAATAATAATAATAATAATAATAATAATAATAATAATAATAATAATAATAATAATAATAATAATATAATAATAATAATAATAATAATAATAATAATAATAATAATAATAATATAATAATAATAATAATATAATAATAATAATAATAATAATAATAATAATAATAATAATAATAATAATAATAATAATAAAATAATAATAATAATAATAATAATAATAATAATAATAATAATAATAATAATAATAATAATAATAATAATAATAATAATAATAATAATAATAATAATAATAATAATAATAATAATAATAATAATAATAATAATAATAATAATAATAATAATAATAATAATAATAATAATAATAATAATAATAATAATAATAATAACAGTGTATTACACAGAAATTATGTATCGGTCACATGAAAAATATTTTACAAAATCTTGACATGTATTCTCAGTATTATCGGACATAGAAAATTTGTTATCGAAATACTTTTTTTTATAAAAAGTTGTGTTATTGGACCACTTTTGCATGAGAAGACTGTTATGGGACATTTTTTCTATAGAAGCCAGTGCTTTCGGATAACTTTTTTCTATAGAAAAGTTTGTTATCGGACAAATTTTCTATGGAAAAGTTTGTTATCGGACAACTTTTCTATAGAAAAGTTTGTTATCGGACAACTTTTCTATAGAAAAGTTTGTTAGCGGACAACTTTTCTATATAGAAAAGTTTGTTATCGGACAACTTTTCTATATAGAAAAGTTTGTTATCGGACAACTTTTCTATATAGAAAAGTTTGTTATCGGACAACTTTTCTATATAGAAAAGTTTGTTATCGGACAACTTTTCTATATAGAAAAGTTTGTTATCGGACAACTTTTCTATATAGAAAAGTTTGTTATCGGACAACTTTTCTATATAGAAAAGTTTGTTATCGGACAACTTTTCTATATAGAAAAGTTTGTTATCGGACAACTTTTCTATAGAAAAGTTTGTTATCGGACAACTTTTCTATAGAAAAGTTTGTTATCGAACAACTTCTCTATAGAAAAGTTTGTTATCGAACAACTTCTCTATAGAAAAGTTTGTTATCGAACAACTTCGCTATAGAAAAGTTTGTTATCGAACAACTTCTCTATAGAAAAGTTTGTTATCGAACAACTTCTCTATAGAAAAGTTTGTTATCGAACAACTTTTCTATAGAAAACTTTGTTATCGGACAACTTTTCTATAGAAAACTTTGTTATCGGACAACTTTTCTATAGAAAACTTTGTTATCATACAACTTTTCTATAGAAAACTTTGTTATCGGACAACTTTTCTATAGAAAACTTTGTTATCGGACAACTTTTCTATAGAAAACTTTGTTATCGGACAACTTTTCTATAGAAAAGTTTGTTATCGGACAACTTTTCTTTTTAAAAATGTTTGCTATGGGATCTAATTTCAAAGGTGTTTTATCGACAAAAATTATAACACATTTTTTGCAAAATACATACATTTTTTGTAAAATGTGTTATGGATAGGAGATTTTACAATGGGTTCCATTATCGAATCATTTTGTATCAGAAAATTTCATTTGAACATTTGCATTTTGCTACAGCTTATCTATGTCTGGCCACTCCTGCCATTATTATACGCAGCATTGAACTAAACCCTATTTGCCAGTCTATGAAGTTCACTTGTTAGATGTTTTTTTGCCGTTGTTGTTATTTTTTAATTTTTTGTCTCTGCCTTCTAAGTATCAACATAGAAATCGTTATTGTTGTTATTTTCCAAACAATCATCCTTGATGGGGGACCTCCAAAGGCTTGCTTGCTTGAGGAGGCGTAGAAAGAGAGCCGAAAGAGGATGATGGCATGTTTTTGAGCTACAAATGTCATTGCATATTTATCGGCTGTAAACCCAGCACACACAGACACATACACACTTGGTAGCTCACATCTACAAAGGGTACTGCAATTTCAAGTGGTAGCTAAGTAAAAAGAATTCCACAGAATGAAAATAAGACAACAAACACACACACATACAAAATGTGGAAACACAACTTCCAGCAATACAATGTCGTTACGCATCACAATGCGACAGAGGCAACTAAAAAAGCAACAATGACAAGAATTTTTCAGCATTTTTATTTTTTTTTACTTCGCTCTACCTCCCTCTCTTTATGTCTCTCTCTGTCCCTTTGTTCCTCGTTTGAAAATACGTCTACTAAGCTGCTTTATGGTTAAATTGTTTAGAAGTGTTTACGGCATATTTATGCCAATATATGCATATGTCACACAGACACACACACATACACGCAGTTAGACACATGTAATGGTATTTGTAGAGCATAGAAACCCATTTAAAATTTTACACAGGGCCACTACAAAGAAAGGGCATTGCACAAACACTCTGACACACATACATGTTTATTTCCGGCCTATATTGGTAGA